GAGTAGATGTTAGAGAAAAAATATTTTTGGTAGGAGTCTCAGTAGGGTTTGATGAAATGGAAACTGAGACATTTTGGAATCCTTCTATAGAATTGCACGCCGTATGCTCGGCTCTCACAGCTGCGCAGGGTACCATAGCCTGTCCTGTTTGTTGGGTCTGGCCGTCATTAACCTGGTCCTCCGCGTAATAAAGTTTTTTTAAATTTTAATAGATTGAGTTTAAAAGCTACTAGTAGAGTCTTCTAAGTTTCAGTGAATTGGGTTCAAAACTAGCAAAGTAAAACTTTTTTTTAAATCTAATTAAAAAAACTGCTAGTAATTTTGCTGTTGTAGTAGATGTATTGTATGAATGTAATAAAGTAATAAGTTGGTTATGATAGTTATATGTGGGGTAGAAGCATATAACAAATTTGTTAAGATAATTTTTTTTAAAGTAAATCTGTACTACTGATAAAGTTTTTTTAAAATTTTAATGGATTAAGTTCAAAAGCTACTAGCAAAATCTTCTAAGTTTCAGTGTATTAGGTTTAAAACTACCAAAGCAAAACTTTTTTTGAATCTAATTAAAAAAACTGCTATTAGAGCAGATATGTTGTGAATAGTCTCTACAGACATAATAAGTAATAGGTTAGTTATGATGGTTATACGTGAGGTAGAAGTATATAACAAGTTTGTTAAGATAATTTTTTTTAAAGTAAATTTGTACTTTTGACAAAATTTTTTTAAATTTGAATTCAAAAGCTACTAGTGAAGTTTTTTAAGTTTCAGTGGATTGGGTTCAAAACTTGCAAAATTACTTGACTGAAGAAAAATTCTATATAATATCAACCAAACTATTTTCTAAAATAGCGAGATTTTTTACTAAGTTAATAGCTTATATAAATTAAGTAAAAGTTGTAGAGCTCTTCGAGACGTACCTAATAGTAGTTAAATCATTAAATTGGTCTAGTGGTTGTTGAGATATTGTTAAAAACAAAATTTAACTATAGAGTTTGTTTACATAAAATTTTATATAGTCGGCCAATAGTTTTTTAACAATATCTCGGCAACCATTAGACCAATCCTAACGATTTAATTACCGTTAGGTGCGTCTCAATAAGCTCTACAACTTTTAATTATTTTATATAAGCTTAACTTAGTAAGAAAAAATGTTTACTTTGGATGAACGGCAGATTCACAATTTTATAATAAATTTTTGTATAATATACAAATTTACTATGAAATCGCAAATCTGCCATTTATCCAAAGTAAACTTTTTTTTACTAAGTTAACAGTTCATGTAAAATAATTAAAAGTTGTAGAGCTCATTGAGACGCACCTAACGTAGTTAAATCATTAAAATTGGTCTAATGGTTACCAAGATATCACTAAAAAACTATTGGCTAACTATATAAAATTTTATATAAACAAATCCTATAGTTAAATTTTGTTTTTAACAATATTTTGACAACCACTAGACCAATTTTAACGATTTAACTACTATTAGGCGCGTCTTGATGAGCTCTACAACTTATAGTTAATTTACATAAGCTTTAACTTAGTAAAAAATCTGGCTATTTTAGAAAATATTTTGGTTGACACTATATAAAATTTTTTTTCAGTTCAGTTAAGAATTATTAATTAATTTACTTTTGTCACAAACTAGCATTATTAAATTTGCTTTATTAAATTAGTATCTATCAATAATTTTTAATAGATAAGTTTATTTGAAACATGTTACATAACAATTTATACTTAAATTCTCTATAACACAAAATTTTACTAAGATAATCTTTTTTTCTAATATTTTATAAATATAAGATTCTTTCTTGTTATCATTATTATCAATATTACTTTTATACATTTTTGAGAGTAATTTTAGTCGACCCTTACCAAAGTTGATAATTCTTTGGATTTTGTTCAACTTGCTTCTGAATAAAATCCAATTCTTCATTTAAATCTTTATTTAAAGTGAATAAAATTTGCTGACGATAATGCCTTTTGTATAAAGATAATATTTGAACTACATTATGAATCTAAATGTCATGAAGACTTTAAAAGGGAAATGAACATACCAAATAGTATAATGAGCAGGATTATGTTCAATTATCTTTTCTGTGAGAGTTAGGGCTCTCTCGCTATGTTCATTCTTTTGGGAAAGCGCGCGAAAATAACCCATGGCCTTTGAATCTATTTTTTTAAAAATTTAGCTTTTAGTTTGCACTTTTTGCAAACAACGAATTAGACGTGACGAAAAAATATACATTCTGGATCATATGCTATTTGGGCAAGCGGATCAGGCCCGTCATCTTGTTCGATTGGAACAACATCACTCCATTCATAATTTTCAAATGGCATCATCGACAGGTAATTGTAGAAAAACTTCAGGATTGCTCTCTTGAATTATCATTCACTGAAGAGGTCTTGAACGATGATTCAAAAAATTATCATGCATGGACTTATAGGTTCATTATACTCTATCCTTTTCCTTTTTTTATGGTTTTATACATTTAATTTTCAAAATTTTAACTTTTTAACCATCTTAACAAAGACAATGGGTCATCAGAACTTTTAATCTTTGGGATAATGAACTATCTTTTGTCGAAAAATTGATAGAGAAGGATATAAGAAATAATTCTGCATGGAACCAGAGATATTTTGCAATCTTTCATAATCCTACCAAACCTAGTGAAGAATTTCTGGGGGAGGAAGTTCAGTAAGTATAACATATATTAGCTTCTGGACATTGATTATAATAACATTCATAAATTACTATTTAGATATGGGATATCCAAAATTAAGTTGACTCCTAATAATATCAGTCCATGGAATTATGTTAAAGGGTAAAAAAAAAAAAAAAAAAAAAAAAGTAGTTTTCCACGTAGACGTTTTAATTTTATACATTAATATTTGTATAAACTTTCGTAGTGTCATTGCAAAATCTAAGTTAAAAATTGACGTATTGGAAGAACTCTGTAAATCACTTTATCAACAAGATATTATATCGCCACATGCACTTGGATGTCTTGTTGATATTTATGAAGATCGTGTGAAGTGTGGTTCAATTAATGAAAAAGAATTAGGAATTCAGGTATTTTTTAAAGCGTTTATTTATTATGACAAGGGGATACATAGAAGTATGTTAATTTTATTTGATACCTTTTTAATTCTTTATTTTATATATCCATTTATTGTAATATAATGTTAGGCTTGTGTTCTTTTGGCAGAGCAGCATGACACTATTCGCCAGAAGTATTGGAATTATAGAAAACATGTCCTGGCTTCTATAGCTTGATAAAATGATAAAATGATAAATTGTTCTATCACATTCTTTACGCTCTTAAAATAGTGCAATGTATCTCATCTTAACATCAATGTTTTTAAAAACATCAATTTTTATTTACAGTGTAAAATAAGAAAATATCTTAATATAAATAAATTATAACAGTAAGTCCACAGAAATTTAATTGTTTTTAGAATTAATTTAAAATTAACCGGTGGTGAAATTCACTGGCCTAAGAATTTTTAGGGTTAAGGTTAGTGTATTAAGAATTATTTTTTTTTTATATAAAATAATATAAAGCTAATATAAGGTTATAATCTCAGTTCTTGTGAAGTTTTCAGGAATTCTGAACATTTTTTACTTAGAGTACCCGATCCCGTTTACTTAGTACGTTTTTGAGATACAGCGCCCCCGGTGAATTTCACCTCCGGTGAGCGCTTGTTTTTATAGGCCAAAAAATTTTTTTATTTTTTTATATTTAATTTTATAGCTGTTTAACTATTAAATTTATTTAATACCGTAAAATAAAGTATATATAGTCACTATAATATAAAAATTAAAACTAAAGATTTAAATCTTTATAAATTTATAAATTTACTAAAATCTGCTTTTGCTCTTTATTAATAATTCTAATTTTAAATTCTAGCCTAACTACAAACAATATATCTAAAAGTTTTACGTACAATAAGTACAATAAAAATAGATCAAATTTTTAGTTTCAGTTTCAGCTTGTCACAAATATTAAAAGTACACTTTAGCAACAATATATAAGAATATATACGTATGTAAATATACAATTGGAATCTATAAGCAATGATCCAATTTATAGGTCCAGTGGTCCAATTGCCCAACACCGAATTTAATGATATATTCTTGAAATCTAAAAATGATTGTATAAAGAATTTAAATATATATGTACAGTATATATTATTATACTATATCAGATATCAGATATTATTAAAGTACGTACGTACATCGTATTCTTTTAATATTTTATACTCAAATATGATTTTTAATTGCCTCAAATCATATAACAAAAGTGTAGCATCTTTAACTGCTACGTGTGAGTCCAAAAATATTTCAGCATTAATCATTTGACGTTAAATTGCTGAAAGTTATTTTGGCAATTTTAATATACATGTACGTACTAAATCAAAAATGCTAAATTACTTTTCAGCCAAGTCGCAGTACGATAGTCCTACGTCATATATAAACGGAATCTTCCGCAAAGATGCATTAACTAGATTTCGAAAGTGGCAACATCTTTGAAATATGTAATCTTAAACTATCATGTATGCATTATTTTATTAAATCGATATTCTAAATTAGGATGATAAGAGAAGGTAATAAATTTATTTACAAGACACACATCAGGTTATTACGTATTACGTACTAAATGGTGTTTTACCTGTTATTAATATCAATTTTTTGTGCATAAACTGTTTCGGGATTAACATTTGTCATTACTAATTACTAATAAATGGCGAAATCGAAAACTTCAAGTTAATGTTTTATTGACCTTATATAGTTCAGATGGAAAAAACCTGCTAAAATAATGTAAATAAACGACTTAAACAAGAATAGAATTAATCATGTTGAGAAAATCGAATGTTCTGTATTTTTACGTACGTACGTACGTACGTACTTGAATATTGAGATCTTTACCACGCGAATTTTTATCTGATAAGGTGATAATCACGGAACCAGATCTGTACTACATCGTCTAGTATAAATAAAAATGAGCTCATGAAATGAATCACATTTTTTTCTATTTTTTTAAAATTTGTATCGTGATGACAGATAAAAAATATGTAATACTTTCGACTTATCGACAATTACTGAAAGAAATTAACAAACAGGTAAAAAAAGGTTCATTCAAATCAGAGCACAAAATCTACTGTAAAATACCGGAGATTCCGGTAAATTAAGAAAAATTCCGGCACAATTTTTTGATAGTCGGAAATTTTCCGTTGTTCAAGAATTTTGACATTTTCTTACATCATAACCGATTATTACTGTCGTTACTACCTCCGGTTATAGATCTTAAATTCCGTTTAATAAAAAGATCGCCGGAAAAATATCAGAATACGTCATGCCACAATTTTGTGCTCTGATTCAAATATTTGGGAATCGTCTAAAGCCAGGTAGTAATTTATATATGTCACGTGGTTTTTAAACTACCTGGCTTTATAATTGGCATTCAAAATATGTACATATATATATTCAATAAGATTAATAAATATTTATTTAAAAGTTTACATCACAGAATAATAATCAATACTGGAAATTGCAATTAATAGAAGCATTTAAAAAAAATAAAGATATCACAAACATTGAATTATCACAAAGATTGAATCAGGACGCGCAGGATGTGTTAAGCTTTTTGAGAAGCAACCGCAGGCATAATGTACATTTTATTATTGGTTCATACTAAATTAGTTTTCTCAAACCAATTTTTTTTTCGAATTTCCTGAAATTTGGTGACTACCAATCAAGTCAACAGGACAGTAATATTTAAAAATCCAAATTCGGACGTTTAAAGCCTATCACCTTTCAAAATTATCCAGTAACTTTAACCAATAATAACGATAATAAGATTACGAAATTTTGATTAACCAGAAACGATAAAGTAAAATATGAAAAAGGTGAAGGTTTTAAGCGTCACCCAAATTAGGAAATAATGGTTCGAGAAAATTAGTCTTAGTTGATGTTTAAAATTTAATTAATTAATAATAATTAAATACATGTATCTAAAAAGGAACTTTTAGCCTCATATAATCCAACTCACGGACAATCGGAAGAAAGACGCGTAGAATTAACAGCAAATCGTGTTGGATTGAAAGTGCCTGGGAGTGATGTCTAAAATTAAAATTTTTAATTTAGTTACAATAAAATAAGTTACTTGCATATTTTATAACTTTAGAATTTTATTATTTTTTATTATTTTTTTATTTTGTATTGTACGTATATAATTTAAAAAAATGATAGGAGTCTGATCTAAATGTTAAAAGCAGCGAAAAAATATCTTTAGAGATTCGAACTTTATTATGATAATCACAAGATACAATTGAATTGTTCTCAAACGACCATTGTGTCGCATGACAACATCATCACATTACATATATAGGCATGTACAATGAAATCTAAAAGCTTTAAGTTTCACATGAAGGTATGAGCAAGCCATCGTTATTAAAATTTACAATGGAGATTTATCCAGATATTGTGATTTCTTTCAGACCTTGCTATTTATAATTTTTAGAAATCTAACGCCTAATTCAATTAAGCTAATACATATATACATACATAAAATAGTCAAACATTTTTTTTATTCTCCTGCAGACAAGCATATAATGTACCTTTCAGCCCGTTCAAAAAACTAAAAATATTCATTGTTAGATCGACCTTAAAAGTAATAATAATGGTTGCGCCTTATCATAATGACTACTTGCCAACGCACGTACGTACGTACGTACATACGTAGGTGCGTAGGTGCGTAGGTACGTACGTACGTGAATGCAAGTTCATTGTTCGATTATAACTGATGATAATAGTAACTTCCAATAGCCTCGTCGATCAAAATTGAGTTATCCAATGGTATGCATATATGGTGCAATTTTTACAGAATAAAAAAAGTTTTTTTTTTTTTTTTTGAATTTCATTCGAAAGTAATAATGATTCGGCATTGTTTTTCGGTATGATTTTCTACCGACTGAAATTAGATTGCAATATTTTCATGCAGACAAATCACCATTCCCCGCATTTTTTTCCTTTGACTTTCATGTGTCATGTCTCTGTACTTATCTTAATGGAGTTACACTGCGTTTATCATTCAACCTTTTTTTTTTTTAACCATGCATAATCCACATAATCTACATAATCCACATGATGGTCGATCGCATTTGGTCATTGAATCAAAGCAAAAACTAACGCGATCAACGTGATTGAATTCAACGAGTTGAGCAAAAGATTTCGATTAAGGTAGAACTAGTAACTAATCATTAGGAATATTGCATGAATCAGAAACAAAGTTGCAGGAGGATAGTTTTAATCTGGAAACATACAAGATATCAATATTAAATTTTATCCAAAGAAAATAAATCATTTTTTGAGATAAAAATTACGGCTATTTTTTTGGCCTAAAAATTTATTCTCGTATATAAAGTACGAACTAGAAAATTAATGACTGAATTTATGAAATAAAAGTGTTTAAAAAAAAAAAAAATTAAAAAATTTCAAAACACTTTGAGTTTAAGAATTTCGAATTAATGATAAAAAAAGTAAAGCTTATATACAATTTGTTAGATATTTCGTTAAATTTTCTATAATAAAATACTATAATAATACTATATGGAATGAAAGCATATAAAAACATTTACAAAATAGGAGGTATAAAATAATATAAATACATTTTAAGTTTTCATTTAGGTTTTATTTTACAAATAACGATAATTCTATCTTGATGGAAGTGGATTGGTCGATCTTGATCAAGCTTGTATGTACTTAAATTTCTTTAGAACATAATAAAGATGTCTTAATGAAAGACGACACGGTAGATCTTGGTTGTGGACGATACAGGTAAGTTAAGTAGCTGAAGGGTAAGATGATACAGGTAGGCTAAGTAGCTGAAGGGTAAGACGATACAGGTAGGTTAAGATGCTGAAGGGTAGGTAGGTTAAGTAGCTGAAGGGTAAGACGCCCGCGTAACACACCCAGCGAGTGTTTATAATTTACAAAGTTGCACTTGTAATCAATTAATAAACACTATACAAATAGATTATGTTTAATTAGCATATAAATAAACACAAATTTTGATCACAGAATATAAAATCATTAAATAACAAATACCTATAGAAAATATTAAACAATTGCTTATTTGCGAGTCATCGGGGTGTACATTGGGATACCAGTAGATTTAGAAGAAAGACCAGATTGGATATTAGAGTGAATGCTAGGATCATCATCAGGTACATTTGAAATAATGTCATCGCATAATGGAGAATGAGTAACAGAAATACTATGAGTATTATGAGTGTTATGAATGTTATGAGTGTTATGAGTGTTAGGTGTGTTAGAAATAGGTTTAGAATTATTGGGAGTGCTAGGTCTCGAGGAATTATTACAGCTTGGCCAAATAGGTGTTCTTGATCGTAATGGCATTTTTGAATTGAGATGTGACAGAGAATTATTCTGTATAGGATTAATAATACTTGAAGAAAGATTAGAAGGTGTATTTGGTCTAGAGGAAGTATAAGAATCTGGTGGTGAAAAATTTTGAATTCTTGATGGAGTCTGCATCTTTGTAGATGCTATCGAACTGCTAACACTTGGTATTTTTATACCATTAGGTGTATTAGATCTCGAAGGAATGGAAATATTTGATACGCTCGAAGCTCTTGACCTTGCTGGTGAAGAAACGATGGGAGATTGATTTTTTGGAGTTCCAGGTCTGCTATTGCTAGTCGAATTTTGTTTTACTGGAAATTTAGGTAAATTTGATACTGGAGAAATTTTCTGATTAATCGCCTTTTCACAATCCGATTTCATACCCTCGACGAGTTTCCATATTCGACCATATACACTTTCAAATTCAAATCTTTTAGAAGAATTGAACTCACGAAAAGAAGTATCGTCGGAACTTTCAGAATCTTCGGAGCTATCTGAACTTTCAGAGCTTTCAAAGCTTTCAGAGCTTTCAGAACTTTCAGATGTTTCAGAACCATAACTAGGTTCATCAGAATCATTTTTTTCATACTCTTTTACACAATGAATCGAATTATTTTTCCATTCTGTAGCAATTATTTCTCGTAATTTATCACGTTCTTGAGTTAATTCTTTTAAAGAATTTTCCAATTCTGCGACTCGTCTTTCTAAAGTAGCATTAGCTGTTTTGAAAAGTGTATTTTCAAATTCTATTATTCGTTGTTCTAACGAAGATATTCTGATTAGTTCTTTTTCATCAGAAGTAGCGATAGGTTGGTGAACCATGGTTGAATAAATAAATAACAATTCTAATTTTAATTTAGGTATATATATGTATGTACGTATGTATGTACGTACGTAAGTTATATATATTTATCGTTACTATGTATTTATTTATACGTATATACACATAGGGGTGTACGTATATCAGATATAGCGAGTTTTTGAAAAATACGTATTTATAAATAAAATTTAGGTTTGTTATTCGAGAAGGTCAACAAAGTGGACGTTGAAGGTGGGCTTTTTATTGAATTTGCAATGAGATGCACAAAGGAGATAGTTCCCCTAAATTTACATTGGTAATCTTTAAGAAGGAGGCTTACTTTTGTTGTTTCCGAAATGGTTACATGAAATTTTTCCCTAAAGAGGATCCGAGAAGAAGTGGGGCACTGCAATTACCATTTTTTCAGTAATTTTGCTTTGTACAAAAAAATAACATTTATACTATATTGAAACAAACCAGCCCCCAATCAATTTATATTATGTATAAAGTCGATTATTAGAAGCTCAAAGAAAATATTCCCGATTTTGCCCCATGTCGATAAGGTAATCAGTCGAATCTTTCTTTAGTTAAGTGAATAAAAATGAAGATGCATTTCATCCTACTTTTAGGTTTTTTTTAAAAAAAAATAATGATAAATATATGTTTAAAAAAATATCACAGTTTTAAACTTACTTTAATGTAGTTAACTATTAATCCATTATTGGTATTTTATTTGAGTACATATATGTTCATTTTTTTTTCTTAGAGTTTGACCGCTCATTGTGTAAAAGATACAATATATATATATATATATATATATATATATAAATATAAATATATATATATATATAATATATATATATATATATATTTATATTTATATTTATATAAATATTCCTCATATCAATTACCTCATCATGTGTAGATTGTGAAACGATCTGTATTAATCATCATTACTTATCGAAGAATCTCGTTGTGATATTCTGATTTTATTACGTATTAATAATCATTAATTAAAGCTTAGATAAATTATTATTATTAATGTTAAAATAACTCCCAACTTTGAAATTCTGCGTTCGCATGTGCTTTACTAAATTAACTCCTTAGGGGTACTTTTTTTTTTTTTCTTGAACATTAAGAAAGCTGATGAATTCATTTATCGGCAATGTTATTTCACTTATTTATACACTAAAAAGTTTTAATGATTGTGGTACTGATCAACAACTTATATCATATGTTTATTCATAGAAGTCTAACTTTAAATTATAAAAAAAATTCTAACAACATTTTGAATGCAAATATGGAATCATCTATTTTATGTATCGTCTATTTACTTAACGTTATTAGTTGTTATTAATGGTACATCTTTTTTTATTTAAATCGGGGATTTTACATCATGTGATAACGATCCTATCTGAAAAAAAAAACTTCCGATTTGTAAAATATACAATTCGATGTTCGTGCTGTAGTGTTAGGTTAGACTAGCTTTAGTGCTGTAGTGTAGAAAGCAACATAAGCAAAAGATAGTTTTGATTTAATCCGATCAAATTATTTTTAATGTAATACTTAAAAAAATTGTAATAATGAAAAACCCTTGTTTAAATGATGAAAAAATGAATTGTATTAAACATGTTACATGCTATTTCTTATGTTAAAATTGATTATATTACAATTATTTAAAAGAATTGTGCTCAATATCACTACAAGTGAAAAAAAAAAATAAAAGAATAAAGATTTAACAAATGCTATTTGTAAAAAGTAATACAGTAATACAATAATAATAAATATTCATATGACATATCACTATGATTAACATTCTTATACATGGTAAAGATAATAACAATGAAAACACTTTCTGCAAAAAAAATAAAAAATAAAAATATTACCATATACTACTTTTTTTAAAAAAAATTTACTTTAAAAAAAAAAATTTTGTACAAATAAACCCTTCAAAAAAAATAAAATGTGACCAATTTCTCATTTACATTTAAATTACCCGTTTCCTATTTAATCTATTAT